TTTTTTTTTCTTGTTGGTTTGCTTTGGTAAAATGAGCATCTGAAGAAAGTCCAACTTTTTCCTAAGCCTAAAAACATGCTGACGTCAGAAGGGATGGTGCCAACTTTCCACTGCTCCCATTTGAGAGCTTCTGTCATTGGACTAGCCAAAAGAAAAAAAAAAAAAGTGTGCAACCTTTCATTTAGCAGCGTGTTTTTTGTTGGCTTAAGCTGAAACTGCATGTTTCCCCCTTATCTGCTTATTTGGAGGCTGGGAGCCTCAAACTGCAAATGCCCTCTTTGCTTTTCACTTCAGCACTACAACATTAAGTTCGGTACCTGGAAAAGCTAAAGAATATAATGCCTATCTCTCAAAGCCTATCGTCTACCGGACATTTTGCCTATTTTATTTCTATTTTGAAATATGCAGTGGTCATGCTGGCTTCCTCCTACATTTCATAGATTGCATGGCGCAAGCAGCTCACGTTCAGTAGTTTTACTGCCAAGTTTTCAAAAGTACCGTTGTTGAGGTCGTAAATTCTCATTAGCTCTAGGTGACCTACCCAACTTGTACTTACATGTACATTGCAGCCTGTCCAAAATTTTTATCTGAATAGTTCCAGTATATGAAGTGACTAAGGTGTTTGATACAATTTCTGATATATGCTCCTAAACACATAGCATCAGGCCTATGCATGCTCTCCCACCTAAAACCATCCAAACTAGTGATTGCCCACTGGCAACTTGACCTTGATATTTGTCTGCAGCTTTTTCCCATGTCTGTGCCTCATTGTTATTTGGTTGAGCTGTTTTTAATATACTCTGGTAAGTCAAATGTCAACATCACAAATCTAAGAAGATTGTGTCTGCCCATAGAGCCTGTCATACTTGCTTTTTTTTTCCTGATGAAATTGCAGGACCTGTTTTTTACAGCACCCTGTTGAGCAACATTACTTATTTTTCTGTCTGGAGGGCTTATTAGCTTAGGAGAAGTTTGATAAGGGCTGTAAGCTGAAGTGAAACGTGTATCTGAAAGACCTTTTTGTCATTGGATAGCTTGAAATTAGCATTTCTCTTCTGACATTGATCCGGTTCTGCAGTGAGGTATGGACTTGCTGCAGGAGATACTGAGTGGACTTACTTGACCTGTTTAACTAGCCAAGAACGCAGTGATAACCCATTTTATGGATTTTAAGGAAAAGAGGAAATATATGTTACTAGAATGCCTGAGTTCGGGGTGTTGCAAACCATTTAGAGGACTTGCATTTCCTAGTTCGTGCTTGAGTCTGCCCATGCTGGAAACTTCTTTCCTTAACTGTGAAACAGCTTTAAGAAATTGTCCCCAAGTTTTGCCTTTGGAGTACCCCAGCACAAAGCACAGACCATAGATTTAACAGAGCTCCTCTTGTACCATTCTGTAAAAGGCAACGCACACATTAAGTAAATTGCAGTGCCTGACAAGATATCAAGAGAGATGTAAGCAGGAGAAACTTAGGACTAGTGATAGAACCAAGAATACTTTTGAAATCCAGTATTTTGTGCCAAGGGAAGAATTTCCACTGCCCTGCTCCTAACTAGCAACTTTCACTTGCTGGACAGGTACCTGCATGGAAATGAGCTGGCTGCAAGTTTCAACGTGGACGCCCTCTGCTCCGAGTAGTCTTCATGTCTCTTCTGGTGTTTTCCATCAGATGGATGGAAAACTCCTCCCAGTGCTTCGGATAGAGTGGAAGGTGGCCACTGATGGTAAGAGGTGGCTCTTAAACAGGAACAGGGAGCGGAGGAATTAAGCGTGGTCTAGCAGGGACGGAGAGGAAAATCAGTACTCCAAGTCTTCTGCGGTTTACCCAGGGAAGCAGAGCTTAGCGATTTGAGGGCTTGGCTGCTTTGTTTTGTTTTAGGTTTGTGGTTTGTTTTGCTTATAAGGGGACCATCTGCTCGTGTGTAAACAGAACAAAAGGGAATGGATTTGAGAGAGAGCAAGCAGTTGCTTAGGTGCTGTTATCCTTAACCTAGCGCAAGGTCTTCTCCTTTAGGAACACTGGAATACAGGATATTGGAGCCCTTGTGGCTCAGATTTCCTATATGCACATGTATCTTGATAAAGAGTTGTCTCATTGCTGGGACAAGTACCAGTAAGTGAATGAGGTCCTTAACAACTGCCAGTAAATAGGAGCTTTTTTGCCTATTTTCTTCCATTCTCCGAAGGGCTTTGAGTTTTCATTCAGTGATGATGCTCCCCGGTTTTCCCTTGTCCCCAGTTTTGCACTGCTCTGCAAAACTCTCCAGTCTCCTGTGACTGGACTAGGCGCGGGATGGAGGGGTGTCACCTGTACATGACAGGAAAGAAAAAACCTCTCCCGCCCTGTGCCTGCAGCCAGCATCCAGTTTCTCCGGGGGGCAGAGCTGGCCGTGATGCAGGTGAACAGCAATCAACAAATCTGCGCCCAGTTTGATTTTCAGAACAACTTGATGCTTCAGGTCCGTCCGGACGGAGGCCGGGTGAGTGCCAAGGGCTCTGAGCTGCCTCTTCCAGTCTCTGGGCTTGTTGGAGTTGTGCCTGTAATAGAGGAGGTGTATCGATGAAAAGCAAGTGAGTCACCAGAGCTGGCGTAGCAGCACAGACGCTGAGCTTGAGGCCTGTCATTTCCAGTTTATTTTATGCTTTTGTGTAGCTATATACACAAAATATTCCTTAGCTGTCTCAGTTTCTCTTTCATTTTTACTGTCCTCAGGTTATAAATGCCTTCTGATATTTTGTTGCTCTCAGTTCAGTACCTTGCTCGTGTCGTTGTCCTTGATGTTCTTAAAATGAACGCTTGTGGCAGTTTTTGCTTTCTTCTTGAGAGCTGTGACGCTGTCTTTAACTCTGTCTTTCCTTGTGCTTCCAATTCTCTTTTGTAGCGTTCTGTTGTAGATAAAAGCATGAACCTGGAGTTTGTCTTTCCACCTTATTCCACAGATTGGGAGCATCCACAGCTCCCTTTATAACAGTAGGAAGTTTAATTTTATTCCTTGGCTCATCCTATTGGGCTAAAACTAAACGTTGTTCTATAATGAAACTACGTCTATACTGAAAAGCAGTGTAGAAGAAAAAGAAATAAGGAAATATGGCCAAAGCTATACATGTATAATTGCAGTTATAAATGTTTAGCTCTTGCCTGCTTTGGCTGTCAAGGTCGTATGGGATGGGGGGACACAATGGGACAAAACCAAGTCAGCTGTTAATTTCAGAGCCTTGATAACACAACTCTGTTTTAAAGTCTTTTTGAATGCTTTATTTCAGTGGAACTTCAGTTTTGACCGCTTTGAAGTGGAACCTGGCCAGACTTACCACGTGACTGTCTACCACCTGCCCAAACTGGGTACACATGGAGACTACAACTGCAAGTCCATGCCTTTCACGATGCCTGGTAAGAGGTGCTCTATTGAACTAGGCCTTGAGCTTGGGATTTAATTCGTGAACTGGATTTTTCTCCAGCCTGAGTATGTGAACTGGGAACAATATTGTAAAACTCTTATCCTTTCTGAATTTGAAGACTCATGTTACTATTCTTTCTTACAGCACTGCTGTGGTTTTCTCCCCAAAATGCGTGATAATTTGTATTAAAAGCCATCATCCTTGCTTCTGGAATCCACTCACTGAAATATAACACACAAATCTCTGCTTGGAAGAAAGTGTGGTGGAGTCCACCAAGTGACTGGTGACTTCCTAAATGGAAGACACTGCTATAAAGATGTTTATATGCTATCCGAAAAGCTGGATGGAGTTTTGGACTTGGATCTGTGAACTCTGAGGCATTGCTCATTGGGAATTCTGTTGCACATGTGGTTAAACAAATTCATATTAAAGTTTGAAGACTGATATGGGTGCCCCTCTGAGAAGCTGTTTGAAGATGATAAGTTTCCTTTGCTGGATTTAGTTGCTGAAGCGTTCATCAGTGGAGCAGATAAAAACACATTTAATCTAGTTGAAGGGGACTGCAGACTGGTCTTTCATGTTCTCTGCAGACTATCAATGCTGCCTTTGTTTAGTTTGAAATCTTTGGAAGTTGCCCTTGTGCTTGTGGAAGGTAAAAGTACAGATCAAAACTTTCTAAATTGGGATGAGTAAAACTTAGCTTCTGATGTCAAATTTTAAGCACTTAAGAGTTGATTTATCATGAAGCTTGATAGAGTGGTATCTGACTCTTTTTTTGCATAAATGAAAATATTCCTCTTGGAAGGAAACTTGGGGCAGGATGTTATGTTTTGTTTTATGGGGAGATTGCTTTTGTTTTTTCCTTGAATATGTTGAGGGTCTGCAGTTCTCTCTGGCTGCACTTACCAGTTCATAAATGCTGGATATTCAATACCCAGCTTAAGCCATCGTTTTCCTCTTGACTTGCTTAGATTTGGGAGCAGAACTCTTTATTTATGGAAAGGTATGTTGTGTGCCAGTCAGTGTGCATGGGGGGAAGCAGAGCAGTCGCTTGATTTTTAGCCCTGGTTATATGGGCCACTTTCTAGCTCTGATCCCCCTGCTCTGCTGGAACCTAATGCATTGTGTTGAGGTCCGCGGTGGCAGGGAACTTTGCTGATCAGAGTTTATCTTTGAGTTAGAGGGTCATGAACTTGACAGAAAGTTGGAAAATTAAGATCAGGGGTATTTGCTTTTGTCTGTTTAAGCAGGCGCTACTAGGGAATTGTTTCTTTGTTGCCCCCAGGCCCAGGAGGAATAATATTTTACGCTGACACTTGTAAATCCCACCCAGCTAATGGTATGAGTTTGAATTTCAATGTGAAAAAGCAGAGCCAATCTGCTAAATAAAACTGAAGAGAAATGTCAATGTAGAAGAGCTTTTATAGGATCAAGAAAGATTCCAGTCTGATGGTTGTCGTAGGAGAGAATTCTTTTGCCAGGAATCTATGGCTTAGCCTCTCTCCAGGTAAGTCTGGAGATCAATATAAAATTGCAACTCCCCTCCCTTGAGAGTGTTCTCATATGACCCTCACTGCACAAGCCTCCCCCCCAGCAAGGGCTAAGCATTGATATGTTAGAAGCACTGTGTGGTTTTAGGCCTTTCTCATCAATACCTCCATCCTTAGAAACATAACATCATTGGAAGAGAGAGTTTTGCCTTGGAAATGGCCGTGTTATTCTCATACAAAATTTTGCTACTGCATTGAAGCAAAGGTTCCTACTCCTCAAGCAGAATTCTGAGTTAGGTGTCTGGTTTCTACTAAAGGGGATGCTTTTCTTGAGTGGAACTGCAATATTTCTGACCTGTCAACTAATGGTGTCTCTTTCCTGCAGACTGCAAGGACTCTCTGATGAAAAGAACTGTTCCGTGTATAAATACAGGTAAAAGTTGTCTGTGTGAGTTACCGGTCACTGCTGCCCTTTGAAATATTCCTGACAGATGAGAAAATTGACTATCTGCACTTCTTCCAGGCAGCCTGTGGGAGCCCAGGATCCAAGGTAAAAGTCTAGATGACGCCACTCTGCTCGTGAGCTTTAACCCGTGGACGGAGTCTGCCCAATATCAAATCCATGTGGCCAGTTTCCTGAATGAGAAGAAATGTAAAATGGTCACGCATAATTTCTCTGAGGTAAATGCCTTCCAAATAATTTCTGCGCAGCTACTTTAGACAGAATTTTCTTTAATAGTCACAAAATCATAAGACGGGAGGTTAGGTGGTGTTAGAACTGGCAAATGTATTGAACAGTGATTTCCAAGGAATTGTTTCCAGATTTTTGTTTGACCTCTGAAAGATGGTATGTTCCTGCAGGATTTTGGTAAATAAAACATCAAAAGGAAGGTTGCTTTTCTAATGCTTTAGAGTAAAAGGCTCAAGCCAGTGTTATTTTGTGAACAACATGATGGTTATGGGACAATCTGCAAGCACCTGTAAAAGAGAGAGAAATTTGACATTGGATGATTTGGGCTTTATTTCCTTTTTTTTTTTTTTTTTTTTTTCCCAAGCCAGTGCCTGGGAGACAAAGCTAAATAAATCAAAATTGAGGTGCAGAGTTTTAATAGCGAGTGCAACAAATCATTGAAGCAATTTAGCATTTTTTTTGAAACTGAGTCTAAATGCTTTTGCAAAGGTGTTCCAGTTAAATCTGAGAATCAATTCCTGTAGGTCTTAAACCTGTGTTGTTGAAAAACTCAAAGTAGATGCAGACTGTTGTCCTCTGACCTAAGAAATTGCCCACTCCAGAAATCTGAACGAGGGAGGATTCTGAATATTTGATACTAGTCTCTATCCTGCCTTGAAGGAGGGCAGGTAAATTGGAATTCACTGTGCTTAGTCTTTCCATTCCTTCCACACTCCTCATCCTTTGGACTCCACATGCTGATATGCCTGAAGGCATTCCTGATACAGTATGTACAGTGTATATATACCTGGCAGGGGTGACTGTACTTCGTTGCAGAGTGTGCCTCTGCTCAGCATCGTAAAAATGTGTTTATTTACACTGAAAGGATACTGGTTGTGTGCCTTGGATAAAAGGGGCAATCTTTATGTCTGCTGTGGTGTAACTGAAAGCAGTTCAGCAGTAGGTCAGCTTTTTAAAGTGGAGCAAACCAGAAGCTGTTAATTAAAATCTGAACATTAAATATCTTGACATTGTTAAGAAACTGTAAGTTAAAATTAATGCTTTTAAAGTTGCACAAAAGATGTCCTTAATTACTTAAATTTCATGTTACCTGGGCAACTTTAACCTGCTGATTTAACTGCATTCCTATCAGTAGGACAGTGACAGTAGTGATCACCAAGACACTTACCTGCTTCATCATACAAGCTTCTGATTCCAAACAAAATTATGAATTTCTGCTGTTTTGTACCACGTCCATAACTTGCATTTCCCCATATTTTCCTCCTTACTCCTTTTGTTTGTTATGGCTTTTACTCCGTTTTCTTCTTGTTTCCCTTATAATAGTTGCTTCTGATTTCTGCAGGGTGGACTGCAGCGGCAGGTGAACGTTACAATCAAAATAGAGAGGAACATAAGAGCCTGCTGCAACTACAATATTCAGGTACAGACACATGGTTCCTATGTCCTTCCTGAAAGGCATTCTCTTCCAGATGGTATAGACAGTAACTCTCCGTTCTAGTGTAGGGTAGTGAAGCCTGAGTGACACAGGACAAGCATTGACAGCTATGCAGCCTCAGGAGCCCATTAATTTATTAATATACAGTCAATAGTGAGAGAATCATTGATTAATCATAGTCTTTGAAGGGAAATAGGGATCCTGTTCTGTGTGCTCAGCTTTTAGGGAAGGAAGAAGCAGGGGAAGGGTCAAGTAGGGAACAGAATTGCTGTTGAAAATAGCTTCTGATTTTTTTTTTTTGTCGTTTATTTCAACTGCAGATTCAGCCATTCTTTGTGAACTGCGGCACAGACTGCATGAGACATTCTGCTGTCATCCCATGTGCACCAGCTCCAAGTGAGACCCTCCCTTCTCTAAATTAGCTTCTTAGCTTCTTATTGTTTTATAGATGAGAACCGAAATTCTAACGTAGCTCTGTCTCTTGCAGGTCCAGACCCGTCAGGTAAGAAGCCTTTCCAGTACTCTGAAACTTCCCTTGCTGCTCTATTCCTGTCATATAGAATAACAAATGATCCTTACTGAGAGTGACACGATGATCAGGAAAATGTCCCCTTGTAGCCCTGCTGTTTTCAGAACATGGGTTGTATTAGAGCTACTTCACTGTGCTTTAAAAAGGCAAGTATTTGTATATAGTATGTACCTGATTAAATGATTTTATTATTATTATTATGTTTTTAGAGATACTTTACTTGCATGAAATTCTTTGAGAAGCACTCTTTTGACAAAGGAATCTGACTTTAAAATATATTCTGTCACTTTGCTCAATGTTCAAAAGATTTGCATAGTTAAAAAAAAGCTTTGGAAGAGAATAGCTTGCATATATTCATCTGCATGAACATCAAGATAAATCATGTGCATAATAATTTAACATCTTTTCTTGGCTGCAGCAGCACCTGTGAAAAGCTAGCCATGTCCAAGATGAAAACTCACACACACATCCTGCAGATTGAAATGCTTGCCCTAAATTCTTTCATATGAATGTAGATGAGGTGAAGAGGCAGGATGTGGAATGTCTGCTGTCCACAGGTGAAGGCTGCTGCTCTTAGGTTTTAGGGGGTTCCAGGTAGGGCTCTCTGGAGCAAGCTTGAAGTGCAGAGCCTGTTTTCAAATGCGGCCGTGGCGTTTTGGGAAGGGGCCGGTGGGAGCAGTACTGGGCTCTCAGCCTGCTCTGCCTGTGGCCTTGGGCAGAACCCTGGACCTTTTGCTTTGGTTTTGGCTGATCAGGAGATTTCTCTTCCTGGGTGAAGCTCCTTAGCTGTTGAAAGCCATGTCTGGGTGCTCTCTTTATACCCTAGGTGATATGATTATATGGTTATACTGGTGCATCACTGGGATCTGTGTGTTACTGGTCGGATCGGTTATAACAGCTGTCATTTGTATGACCAAAAAGCGAGCAGGTAAGACTCCTACCACATGGAAAGATGTGTCTGAGCACTATGACTAGTCTTTCCTACTCCTTTATTTTTCTCACTGTTTTCTTCCTTGCTTTATGAAGCTCTGCCACTGATACAATGCTCATGCAAATGCTTTCTTCTGTTTATATCACAAGACTTGTGTAACATCCTAATACCATCCACCTAATGCGTCATCCACTGTATTACCATCCACCTAATGCATCATCCTAACACAATCCACCCAAAAATCTTGACGGGTTGCACTGTCTGACCTTCCACTGACATTCCACTTTGGAAGAAGCTCATGGGGGAAAAAATGACATCACAGTTTAGCCCTTTGATTCCTGCTGAACCAGGTTTCTGTGGGTATCTCTTCCATTTATTTTCCTTATGCATTGTGTAAAAGCCCTGCAGGGCAGCAGCTTCCTGTTCTCGGAGGCCACAGGCTTTCCCCTGTCACCCCCTGTCTCTGCAAAACTCACTACTGTGCTGTCTTGAGTTTAAAGAGCAATCTTTGGTGAAGATGGAAAAAGAAAATTGGAACACAGAAGTTGATACTGAGCGGTTTGAAAAATTGCGTGATTAAAGATATTCATAGTCTTTAGTGCTGTAACTGTGAGGCGGTTATCACAGGGAGACTGTACAACTCACTGCTTGCTTTTTACCTGAGGAAAATCTTTCAAAGGGCCTCTAAACATAAAAATCATCTGTAAGACCTGTAAGTTGTACCTGGAGATGTACTTAGTTGCTTCTTTAGGAAAAGCCTCTTAAAAAAAAAAACTCTATTTAAAAAAAAATAAAGATGCTTTTCAAGGAGAACTAGGAGAAAATGTGAGGGCTCTGTCCTTGTTTTTCAGTTTAGGGAAGGATGGTGAAAATCAGTTGTGAGTGCATCCTTTCTCACCAAGGCAAAACAAAGTATAGCGCACAGCAGACTTGACTATGGACGAACCTGTGTCCATGCAGTGTTTTTATTAGGCTTTTCCCTCCCTCTTTCCCCTCTCAGTTGGAGACTTGCAAGTCTAGTCTCCGGAGGCAGTGGTTATTTGCAGGGGATGGCTGTTACAGTTGACAGTGACTCTCTCTCTTGCAGGACGCCTGCGAGGGAAAGGCGGCCACAGTGACTGGCAGACGGGTAAGGGATCCTGCCGCTGCGTTGTCCAGTGCTGTCCTGTGTGTGAGGCATCTGGGATGAGCTGTTGGGCACAGGTTATCGGGGGCTCTGCTCCTCTGTAGATGCTTCTGGAAACCAAGCTAGCATAGCCTCAAGGTCTTCCTGTGTTCCTGGTTAGTCAAAAGGAACATTTTAATAACTGAACACATTGAACAGAGAATATACAAGTTGGACTGCTGCCCTTTAGCAGATGGGAGATACAACTTTACAAAGTAGTTATTTATTGTCCATTTAGCTGTGGTTGTACTGGGAAAAAAATGGCTAATCATTGAAGCCACAGCAGCAGGAGATTGCTGTGGGGTGAAGGCAGCTCCCACGATAGAACATTACAGCTATCCTTGCAAGACTGTTGAAACCAGTGTGCTTTGCGTTTATGCGTGGTGAAATTCATCTGGGATGAATCTTTCTCTGTCTTTCAGAGGTGCTGTCTCCAGACCTTCCTCTGCCACCATTGAAGCCCCGGAAAGTTTGGATCGTGTACTCCGCCGATCACCTGCTCTACGTGGATGTGGTGCTGAAGTTTGCCGAGTTCCTGATGACCGTCTGCGGCACTGCAGTGGCCTTAGATCTGCTGGAAGATCATCAGATCTCGGAGCTAGGGGCTTTACCTTGGCTCACTCGACAAAAGAAGGAGATGGAAGACCTCTCTTCAAAGATTATCATCTTGTGCTCACGGGGCACCCAGGCCAAATGGCAGGCCATGCTTGGGAGCGAGCCTGTGCGTCTCCGGCAAGATCAGCAAAAGCCAACTGGAGACCTCTTCACCCCTGCCTTGAATTTGATCCTGCCCGATTTCAAGAAGCCAGCCTGTTTTGGGATGTATATCATCTGCTATTTTGAAGGGATAAGTAGTGAGAAGGATATACCCGATCTATTTAATGTCACTTCCAGGTACCAACTGATGGACAAGTTTGAGGATATTTTTTTTCGGATTCAGGACCTGGAGAAATTTGAACCGGGACGTATACACCGAATCCAGGAAATCACAGCAGACAATTACGTGGATACCCCTAGTGGATGGAAGCTGAAAGAGGCCGTGCAAAAGTTCCAGGAGTGGCAGGCAGAGCACCCAGACTGGTTTGAGACGGAAAGCATCTGCGTGGAGAACGACGAGGAGCCTCAGTGCGTGAGCAGAGACAGTGCTGTGGGCTCGTTCCTGAGCGAGCAGGGGGGCATCGTGAAACATCAGCTGCACCTCAGGGAGCCTGAGCCCAATTGCTGTTACGTTGTCGACCTTCACATGCAGGAGAGCGAGAACAAAGGTTGCAAACTGCAGCCTCAGCTGAATCTGTCTGGGGATGCAGCTTCTCAGACTATGGTCATTCCTATGGATGAGGCCCCTCTGGTTCAGGTAGTGGAGCCGGTGTCTCCCATGGAAGATAAAAGTGTGCTTGGGCATCATGTGCTGACTAATGAGGACTGTGTGGAAGGAGTCCCTCTTTTGGGAACAAGTTTTCCACTGAGAAATGAAGTCATCCTCCATGACGACTGCGAAGCTTCTGCAATAGGTGATAGTCCTGCAAACCTCTCAGGTGAGCTGAGACTCCAGCTGAATGGACTCATGTCTTCTCTTTATCAGCAGAGCGTTCTGCCCTCAGAACCATCCTGCTGTCAAGAGGAAGCTGACAAGCAACATCAGTTGGTCTTAGATGACCAATGCAAAGAGCAAAGACAATCAGTGCAGTCAGACCAGGGCTACATCTCTAGATGTTCTCCTTTGCCTCCTGATGATCTTGTGGAGGAGGAGGAGGAGGAAGAAGAGGAAGAGGAGGAAGAAGATCCAGAGAAACAAGTGCTCTTTCATGGACTCTCTCCAGAGGACTTGAATAGTCTAAAGAGTCTCCAGCAGAGATTGTTTTTCCAGGACATTCAACGGAGCCATGACTGGAGGTATCCAGCTGAGGTGATGGACTTGAGCCAGTCTCCGAAGGATTGTTAGGCTCCATTTGGAACATGTTGCACCTGAAACACAGGGATGGAAGGAGGTACCCTGCACAGCACAAAACAGCATCTTGGATACCTTCCTTGTCCCCGTGTGACAAACAGCTTGTGGTGGGAGCTTCTTGTTGGCTGTCAGGAGGCAGATAGAGTGCTGCTGCTTGCAGCCTGTGCACGGAGGGAGGCAACAGGAGCATCAGCCACTGCTGTGAAGGAGCACATAGGGATTTGGTTCCTCTGGAAAATGTGTTACATGGGACCTTCAGTGACTGATTGCAGAAAAGTCACTGTGGTTCATCTGTGCCTTTGGATTTCCCACCAAAGTCCTTGATTTGTTGCACTGGACAGAAGTTGAGGCCAGAAATCAGATTTGAGTAGCTTAGCTAACTTTACATTGCCAGTTTAATGCATCTTTTAAATGTTTTCCTGTAAATACTGTGTTAACCATGTGTGCCTTAAATTTCAGCTAGGATAGGGCCGTCCCTGCCCAGGCGATTTCTCATTTTGCCATTTGGGGACACGTTTGTACCTCTGCAGCCGTTTAGGAATCGGGTGAAGTACCTGAGTGATGAGCGGGACCAACTTTTAAACTAAGGAGACAAAGCAGCCTCCTCGTAACTCCCCACACCTGCTGGTTGAAACCAGCAGTAGGGGGGCAAGGGACCCCTTAAGTATGCTGGAAACTTAACCAGAAAATGGAATCTAGATTTGTTGTTGACTTGCTGAACTTGCCTGAATCAGGGGCGTTTGGCAGATTCTGTCACGCCTCGTCGTGATGCTGTTTGCTTTGGGCCATCTTGGTACCCGGAGAGCTTGGAGATGCAAATAGTGGTGGCCAGCTAAGGAAATGAGAGGCCATTGGGGAGAGAGGGGTGGTCAAATGTAGCTTGAGCAGATGCTCACTGTTGTGAAATATTTGCTAATAATAAAGAGAGGGATTAGTCTCCCAGGAGCAGCGATGGAAACTATCAGTTCCAATGTTTAAAAAAAAAAAAAAGAAGAAACACCCTTGGACTCGGCAGGCTGGTAAGAGCAGCTCCCATGAGGGTCTCAGCCCTGCAGCACTGCCAGCCTCGTGAAGCTGGGGAGCCCGCCTTGTCCCCATTGTCCCCATGGCCTCTGCAGCCCCACAGCGTGGGAGATGCACGCGCCGCCGGGCCCCTCTCCATGGTGCTCGGGCAGGCTTTCTTGTCAGAAAACGTTCAGAGAATTTTTAAACCAAATATTTCAGAAGATAACCAACTTTTCTAGTTTGTTTTTTAGCTAGTGATATACTATGTTGTTTTATAAATTTGTACGTTTGTAACTTGTTTGTAACTTAAGGAACAAAACACAAGAATATATTAGAATATATTTACTTAAACCCATTTGTGTCCTCTTCCCAATTTCTGCCTATCCCTTGTGTAAGTATTTTGTGTAGAAATCTGCAGTGAGATAAACATGGAAGCTGAAGCAGTTGAGAAACACCCAACTCTTCCTGCAAAGTCCTGTGCTCCTGGGGGCTGCAGCTGAGGGACATCGGGGTGGGAAGTGCACGTGTCCTCACTGTGGGGTGGGAAGTGCACGTGTCCTCACTGTGGGGTGGGAAGTGCACGTGTCCTCACTGTGGGGTGGGAAGTGCACGTGTCCTCAGAATGAGCACTGCAGAAGTTCAACATCTGCAGCGTGTGCAGAGCGGGTTAGTGGGGCAGGACTGCTGAGCAACCCAAATGCCCAGGAAAATGACAACGGGACAGTGCCCTCCTATATCTGACCTTAACGGTAGGAGGCCCCTTCGTGTCCTGTCTGCTGGAGCAGCTGGGCCACGGGGGCCAAGCGAGTGGGAACTGTGGTGTGTTGCTCCAATTAGTTGGTTATCTTGGAGCCTGCAGATAATTGTCATCTTGATGATCCAGCTCATAAAACTCCTTTTATTTTACAGCCGTTAACATTTAAATGTGATTTTTTTTTCCTATGAGACCTTTTTAAGACATACATATCTCTGTAAATGATTTGAATAGAAAGCTGAGTGGATGCTCAGTGGAGCATCTATTGTATGAGGAAAGACTAAGTGAGTTAGGCCTATTATCTCTGGAAAAAGACAAGGTTGAGAGGGGGTCTTATGTACAAGTACCTGAGGGGGGCATGTAGGGAGGAAGGGGTCAAGCTCTTCTCAGTGGTGGCCAGTGACAGGACAAGGGGCAGTGGGTATAAGTTGAGACACAGGCAGTTCCATCTCTGTATGAGGAGGAACTTATTCACTGTGAGGGTGCCAGAGCCCTGGCACAGGCTGCCCAGGGAGCCTGTGGAGTCTCCTTCTCTGGAGGTCTTCCAAACCCACCTGGATGCAGAGCATATGCTCTGGGTGTCCCTGCTGGAGCAGGGAGGTTGGACTAGATGTTCTCTTGAGGTCCTTTCCAACCTCAGCCATTCTGTGATTCTGAGGAGTGACTTTTTTAATTAGTTGATGCCCTCTCAAATTCCCTTAGTGTTAGAGCTTTTGGACCTTATTTTTACCAGAACAAGTTTCAATTTGAGTATCTGGACACATGAAGCAATCCAACGTGAGGAAGGCCAGGTAACTTCAATGCGTCTGTTGGTCTCTGAGTGTAATATTCAATAGCTCAACAAGACTTGAAGAAGAAAAAAAGAGCAAAGTCGGTCACAAGTTTCTAGTTTTATTTTAACAATCTTGCGTTTTAAAAAATACAAGTTCTGATTAATGCCACAGGGATGCCCAGTGTCCACTGGCCACCGGCTTCTCTCTCGTTGCAGCTTCTCCCCAGGGAGTCGTCACCATCTCCTTGGACTAGCCCAGGCTAGCAGTTTCTTAGGAGAGAGCAGTAAAATGGGAACTAGGCGAGTCCCGCTGCGAGGCTGACAAGGGCCCTGCGCGGGCCGCGACGCCTCGGTATGGCACAGCTTGGTTTGGCAAGGTAGCGCTGACCTGGGCCAGAATTGCAGTGCTGGGCAGCACAGGGTAAGCGAGGAAGGTGCTTTGGGCGCCAGGAGCGGCTGGCACCGCAGCGGGAACGCTGCCCCTTTGGGCCCGCGGATCCGCCGGGGCAGGAGGGAGCGAAAGGGAGCGAGAGCTGCCCTAGCAGAGAGAGGACGGAGCAGGTTTGTGAAGGAGAGCTCAGAGCTCGGGATGCCGCTGCGCAGCAAGGGGGGTAAGTGGTGGCAGCTGGAGCTGCCCCTCTCCTCACAAGGGGCTCCTCTACACTCAGCTGCTGAGAGAGATTTAAGCTCTCAATGTAGCGCATTTGCTAACATTTCCTTACAAACAAGTAGCAGAAACCGCAGAAAATCACTCCGTGAAGTCTTCTGCAAGGGAATTTTATACAGCAGAAACATTAATTTGAGGTGTCATCTGTGCATGGCAATTTTCAGGCTAAAGGGCCAATTTGAACAGTGCTATTAATGCAACCCATGGCGGGAGCATCCTTGGGCTAGATAACTTGCCTGAATGAAGCACATGGGACACTGGGGTTCAGGTACCAGCTTGTTCTCTCTTAGGTGGTACCCCAGTTTTTACTGCATTTTCAATGCTTGCGAAAAGGGGAGGCTCCCAGGAGCGGGTCCCTCTGCCAGCACCCTCAGCCTCCTGCTGCGTCCTCCCCGGGGCCGGGAAAGCGGCATCCCCATGGCACATCTCACGCCACACAGGAAAAGTTCACAGTACTCAGCTTTACAATCACAGTCACTCACAGCACCAAGATTGTCCAGACAAAAGAAAAGTTACTGAAGAGAAGGCCCCTGGCCAAGATTCACACAAGTGCCCGCAGGAGGGCTCCGATTGGGAATAAAGCACCGGTGGGAAAGTTCAGCCTGGTTCAGCTGGCTCTTCGTTGGTGGGGGAAGAGCAGCCGGTCTCCCCTCGTTGCTGCAGCTCCTGCTGGAGCAGACGGAGGCTCCGGCCCAAGCCCTGGAGCAGGCGGAGGCTCCGGCCCAAGCGCTGGAGCAGGCGGAGGCTCCTGCCTGGGGACGGGAGCAGAGGCCAGGGCTGCTCCTGCTCCTGCCTCTCAGCACTGGGGCTGCTGGCCCCTGGCTTCCCCTTCCCAGCTAACGGCTTGAGGAATGGCTCCGGACAGGAAACGGTGACATGTTGCCCACGTCTGCAGTCCTGCCCAGGTAACAAATCATAAACGTGGGAGGGGGCAAGTCCCCCTTCCCTGCCTGGCCTTCGTGTCCCTGCCTTCATCCGACCACTTTCCAGAACAGCTCTAGGCAGGCATGGGGAGCAGGCCTGGGAGCAGGCCCGAACCCACCCCAAACATTCACGGAGCTCAAAACTGGAGCCAAGCGTGTTTCTATGGGAGGCCACTTCGCAGCTGGCTCTTCCCCACCACCCTTAGCTGCACGTGTGCAGGAGACGGGTGCTGGGGTGTGCGCCGGCACCACGGGGCCAGAGCTGCAGGCCAGGCCCCACCACGCCATGGGGCAGGCTCAGGCATGGCACCAAGGGGCCGGAGCTGCAGGCCAGGCCCCACCACGCCATGGGGCAGGCTCAGGCATGGCACCAAGGGGCCGGAGCTGCAGGCCAGGCCCCACCACGCCATGGGGCAGGCTCAGGCATGGCACCAAGGGGCCGGAGCTGCAGCCCAGGCCCCACCAGGCCATGGGGCAGGCTCAGGCGTGGCACCAAGGGGCCGGAGCTGCAGCCCAGGCCCCGCCACACAGTGGGGCAGGCTCAGGGGTGGCACTTTGCTTTCTGTGTGGGGCAGGGAGGTGCTCTGAGCACAGGGCCGCCCCCAGCAGCACCCGGGTCCCCTGCCCAGCTCAGCCGTCCCCGGCCCTGCCCGGCACGTGGGGCGAGGGGCTCGGAAAATGCGCCCAGCCGGTGTGAGGGGGCCCACCCAGGGCGTGCAAGGAAACCAACACTGACCCAGTAACATGCATATTCACAGAGAAATGAGAGCCCCGGCGAGCGGCAGCTGCTCTCTGAAGGAAGCAGTAGACTGCTGTAAAACCCTGTTCTCACCCAAATTCAATGTCTCGGTGGTGGCGAAATGGGGCTTGAGCCCCCGGAGGAATGTCTGTTTCGGCATCATGGGGTTCTTTGTCGTGTGAAGTCAATGTAAGATGGAGAAGGTTGAAGCACAGAGGTAGACATTTTCGGCAAGGAGAAAGTGGCTTCTAGGCTCTCAGTGCCCAGGTGGCTTGCGGACTTCCCAGCTGGTCCTCCAAGCTCCTCTTAGGCTCTGCTTGTGGGGAAATAGAGGGGGCAGCTTTGCAAGCCCTAGAGAGCCCTCGGAACGCTCCCCTCTGCCCTGCACACCCCCCAAACACAGGTCTGTTCAGATCCTTTGCAGGTCTCATCGCGATGTTCAAGAAAGAGGAAAATCCACTGGTCCCCATCGCTTGGGGGAAACAAACACAGAAGAGGGAACCTTCCCGATGATGGAGCAACACGTTGGCCTGGCAGGCAGTGGAGGAGGAGGAGTCACATCTTCCCAGCAGTGCGGAGGGGTGAAAGCACTGGAAGACGACAACCTGCCGTCGAGGTCAGGAGCCTTTTGGGGAGGTGGGAGCCAAGCACTGCCGGGGTGGGGTCACGTCTGCGCCCAGCTCCCACCCTCGGTTTGGCCGTGGGGTGGGCCCGGTGGTGCTCGCCCGGGGGGTCGCCTCGGGGAGCCCCTTGCCGGGAGGTGCCGGGACGGGCACTCAGCCCTGCGCCGTGACCGCCAGCGCGTTGACGTAGCCGTGGGGGCCCACGTCCACCTCGGAGAGGCCGTGGGGCAGCGGCGCGGCGGCGGGGGGCGCGGCGGCCGCGCCGTACTTGACGGCGGGCACGGCGGGGCGCAGGAGGCAGCAGGTCTCGAGGGCCTCGAGGCCGCGGCACGCGAGGAAGAAGAGGTTCTTGAGCATGAAGAGCGAGAGCGGCTGCTGGTAGCGCAGGAGCAGGAGGCAGCGCAGCGCCAGCAGCGGCGCGTCCAGCAGCCCGGCGGGCAGCAGCAGGTGCAGCGCGAGGCGCGCGGCGCCGGGCGGGCGCGCGGCGCTCAGCTCGTACAGCCAGAGCACGGGCGAGGCGAGGCAGAGGAAGTAGACGGCGATGAGGAGGTAGCGCAGCGGCGCGGGCAGCGGCGCCGGCCGCCCGGGCTGCAGCACGAGCTCCAGCAGCGAGAAGCTGTCGAGCAGGTCGAGGCAGGTGGCGAGGAAGGCGGCGGCGGCGCGGTGCTGCGGCGGCGGCTGCGGCGGCAGCAGCAGCTGCCCCGCGCCCTCGGAGCCGATGGCCCGCAGCAGGCAGTAGAGCAGCGGCGCCGAGAGCGCCAGCGTGACGCGGAAGCCGGTGGTGCCCAGCGGCAGGCGCAGCTCGATGAGCTCCAGGATGGAGGTGCCCAGGATGAGCGCCGCCTTGGGCGTGAAGGCGATGGAGTAGATGAGCCAGG